GCCTAGTCCACTCGGTTGTATTGGCTTTTTGTCACAGCCACTGACAAAGACCCTGTCCTTGACCAAACTTGATTCAGGCTTCTCTGAGCCCAATGAAGCCCTTTCCTTGGGCATTTTCTCTAAGGAGCCCAGTTTTAGCAAGAATCCCAATCAGTCAGTTTATCCAAAATCTCCCACCCTTGATATCTGACCAAATTCTTCATCCCAACCATCCCCCAAGTAATGCCTGGTCACTGTGGCTTCAGCAAGAATCCTATCTGGTCAATGTAGCCGGAACCCCCCTTAACTCTGAGGCTTCCTCTTACTACTTTTCCATCTACTGACCCTCTACCCTGCTCCTTGGCTACAAAGTCCCAGTTTTCCTTGTTGTGTTAGAGCTGAGCCAAGTCTCTCTCCCCCACTGCCCAACCCCAGTGGAGTGGAAGTAGTTCATATACCAATCACAGTAGTCCTGGATATAGTCTACCTTAGTGTTTTAACAGGTCAAAGAATAGTTTTTTATTAAACACTTACTTTGGACATTATTTTTAATACATACTTTAAAAGTGAGAGCTCATTCAAACACTTTTTATTAGCCTCAAAAAGAACTCAACTACTGCACTATTACAGTCATGTAAGAAATGCTGAAATGATTTTACAGAGGCAAAACTGGAAAAACTGGTCACTACCCACAGGCCAATAAGCAGTTGCACTCCAGAGAGGCAATCTGCATTTAATGGATGGAATTATTTACATTACTATCAGTTTCCCGTAAGTCAACTTCTGTTTCTACAGGCTTGTGACAGCCCAATCGAAAACTAGCAAAGGCAGACGTGTCTACAAAATCAAATAATCTCCAAATAATCAGTCCATTGAAAGGATATCCAGGAATCTCTTGATTTCAAAATCTTCCAGTTTTTCTCTATACCAAAGTCCAACAGCAGTAAAAATAAGTCCAGAAAGAAAGAAAGAAAGAAAGAAAAAGATGAAAAGCAGCAATAATCAAGAAACATTTATACAGAGTTAAGATGGTCATGTTAAGTGGTTGTGTACCTTGGGCAATTTTACTTAACCTCCTTGCAACCCAATTTTCACATCTATAAAATTCACACAACAGTAAGTACCTGTTGCATAACTGAGTTAATCATTGACAAAGGCTCAGTAAAACAATAGCTCTATTTGCTGCGCCTCCTTGAAGGCCGTGACCATGACAGCGTGCCTATCTGCACTCTACGGGGTAATGCCGAGTTCGCCCAAGAATTCTACCTTGATGATCACAGATCCTACGATATAACTTACGTTCATTCTTTCTCCCAGATCTAGTGCTTCTAGTAGACTAACAAGTTCCTTCTAGTAGATTCACAGGTTCTTCTTTGCCCAGGGTAAGATTCAAGTGTAGCAAACCTGTATCACCATTGCTTTCTTTCACTTAAGAGATGACATTAGCATCAAGGGTGAGATTCTCTTTGTTAACCAGGAGTGTTGGGCAGGAGTCAAGGCTGTTAAAATCTCCTGTCACAATTATGTGCACCTCTGCACCAGGTGATCTCTATACCAAGAGCACCATCCATCTCCCCTCTAGCAGGACCAGTTGGAGCAATTCCAAAGCCATTACCTCAGTTTCCGTTGCTATTTTGTCTTCACCCAGGCACTCTCACCACAAGTTACAGAGATTAGAATGGTGGTTGCCAGGAGCTGGGGTGTGGGAGAAGCAGGAAAAGGCTGGTAAATGGAACAAACTTTCCATTATAAGAGGAACAAGGTCTGAGGATCTACTGTGTAACACAGTGACTCTACTTGATAATACTGTACTATATTCTGCTAAGGGAGTAGAAATATGTTCTCCCACCACCCCCACTCCCCAAAAAGGTAAATATGTGAGGTGATGGATATTTTCATTAACTCAGTGGTAGAAATCTTTTTATAATGTATAACAATCATCATGTTATACACTTCAAATATATTATGATTTTATTTGTCAATTATACCTCAGTAAAGCTGGGGGATGGAGGATAACAATAAATTTGTAGCGAAGTTGCAAGACAAATGAAAGGGCCTTCAGCTCTAGGGGTGACAAACTGCGGGAGGGTAAATATATGGGGGAGACTCATGAAAGGTTGGGGTTGTGTTAGTAAGGGCTGTTGTATAGATTCTTCTGATGTCAGCTCTAGGCTCATAAAAGTCTAGCATTGCCTCCAGTAGTTAACAATCCCCATTCCCTTCCTGACAGAAGCAGAGGGAAGAGTTGTTCTTGTGTATTCTTCCTCTTAATTGCCTTCAACTCAAAATATTCCTTATGCCAAAGTGGCATGTTTGGGATCACATCCTCTGAACCGTTCTCAGGTATAATAGTATCCTCTGAGCGATTCTCAGGTATACTTGGTAACAAATGATGGTTCTCCTCTGTTCCTATTTCAAATGTTTCATTTGAACTAGCCACATTCTTTCCTTGCTTCATTTCATCTCTGATCCCATTTCATCCAGTTTCATCATTGAGATCGATATAAGGATGAAAGTCACATCCCCAAAGTAATATGGCACCCATTCGAAAATCTACTCTCTGGTCTTTTAAGTTTTATTTGGCTACTCACTTATAATGATGGACAAAAAAAAAAAAAAAAAAAAAGCCACCAAAGTTTCCTGAAGAAGAGCTTTTTATCCATACATGCAAACACTTAAGGGTTTTCCCCTGAGACATATTCCCAGTAATAATTTAAATAAATTCCAGAATCCAAAATTAAGGCAAGTTGAAAATCAATATGACAATTTTAAATGGTCCATACTCAGTAATTCAACTCCTGGGAATAATTCCTCAGGAGACAATACGAAATACGAGCAAAGATGACAAAATCATACTCTGCAACAGTATATGTAATAGCGAGCACTTGAAAACAAACAAAACATTTTAAAAAGAGTTGTCTGGTGGAATAATTGTAGCACCTCCATTCACTGGACTTATGCAGCCATTGGAAATTCCATTTACAAAATGTACGTTGGTATGGAGACCTATTTATGATAGATATTAAATGGAAAAAGCAAGTCACAAAACTACAATAACATCTTGACTATATAAAACCGTAGACATTGCATTTATTGAGGGATCCATCTGGCTGAAAGAAACACTCACATCAGCCTAAGGGGGGCTGTGGGGGAGCAAGGGCACTGCCGGACCCCAGGTGGCAGGCGGAGACTCGCAGGCACCAGGGCAGTTTTCTCTCCTGCCCCCAGGACCCCCTGCTCTCCAAGTCTAATTCCTTCACTTCTTTCTCTGCCCACCAGCTTTTCCTCCTCTGCTGCGTGGAACCCAAACATGACCTCCCAGCTGAAGTACCCAGCAGAGGTTGGCTAGATTCTCTGTAACACAATTCCAAACTTCTGGCATGTAGAATTGAATTGGCCCGGCTTGGGTAGGCAAGTCCACTCCTTGTCCAGTTGGATATTGGGGCTTCTTGTCCAATTGGGGGTCATTTTGTCCACCTGGCTGCAGGTGTGTTATTGGGGCAGCGTGAAGGGAAAAGGCAGACATCTGAAAGGTAGTTCACCATATCGTCATAGCAGGAAAGAAATACACCAAAATTTTAGCAATGTTTATCACTGACTGGATTATGGTGGTCTTTATTTTATGTATGCTTTTTTATGTTTTGCAAGTTTTTAATAGTGTTATGAATAATTTTTAGTATCAGGAGAAAACTGGGTTTGGTTTTGCTTATTAATATATCACATGTATTGGGTCCCATCGCTAGTACGTGCCTGCATGTTGGGTGTGGAAGATGAGAAGTTGAATGATTAATGGACAGTCACTGTCCTCAATGAATCTACCTGCTTGCGACTGCCCCATCCTGTGTTCATCCTTATCCTGCCAAGACCTGGTGGGATTCTCAATATCTGCAACCAGTGTCATTAAGTTATGTAACTCTAAACTCTAATAGCAACTGTAGTCCATACTATGGGACTGACTTGTTGATTATGTGCATTTGTTGATGCTTGAATTATTTCAAATAAATATATCTCGTCTTCCCCCAAAATACTGATTTTTAAAATAAGAAAAACCATTCTTAATGTTTCTTTAACACCCCCTTAAGTTGCCTGACACACAGTATGTGCAATAACTGTGAGTTTGCTGGTTAAAATTCATTTTGAGTCACCAAACAGCTGACTTTTCCATAACCACTCCTTTTTTGGTCACTTTGCCTATTATTTAAACTGTTGGTTCCTCCCTCACTTACATGAAATGAGTCACGATTTCTCTTTCACTATTCATACTTCCTTCACCTTCACATGTCAATCAGTCAGTACACATAGTTTCATGATCACAAGTATGGCCATAAATGTCTATTTCAGTTAAGAATTTGGGGAGAATGTAAAATCATATTTAAGTGTTTCTTCTTTCATATATATAGGCAATTCTATCCCTAAAATTATGACATATGATCTTCAAACGAGTTTTTGTGAATTTTACTATGATTAGGGCTAGACTTGATTTTTAAAGATGCTCCCATGGTTCCATTTGAATACAACCTTTGATTTTCATATGAGAGGTGACACAATATAGTACTAAACCAGAAAGATCAGGGTTTAAATCGCAGCTCAAATGTTAAGACCCACTAGCAAGATACTTTACCTCTCTGAGCTTTGGTTTGCTCATATACAAAATGAGAATAACACCTGCCTCTCAATGTGGTAAAGATTAAGTGTTTGTGCAATACCTGCCACATGTTAGATGGTCAGTAAACATTTGCTCAACAGATGAAATGAAAAGAAAGTGAAAAAAAGAAAAGAAACTATCAGGAAAACACCCACATAATTGTCCTGAAGGGCAGTGACCTTGATAACAAATAAGTTCAATTAAAAAAAAACCAGGACTTGTCAACTTAAAAAAAAAAAAATCCAGAAGCCCTTTTAAATTCAAATTATAAGGCTGAAGGTCAGCCACTCCTTGGTTAAAAAGCAGGAAAGGGGGCAGGGCTTAGGGAGGAAGTGCTGCTCCTCCCCCACGTCTCGCTTCAACCTTAGTCCTAAAGCTGAGGAGGCAGCACCAGATGAAGTCTTGGACCACACAAGAACCTCCCTGAATGAGGAGCCAAGAAGACTTGGTAAGAGTTACCTCTTAAATTTCCTGGGGACAGACTCAGGAATAGAAATACCCTTCCTGCCACCTACCTGAAGCAGGAGAAACCACTGACAGCTCCAAGACCAGGTAACAGCAGGAGGCACCAGCCTTCATTCTCAGCCTTCCCAGGAGGACACAGCCGGGTTCAGTCCTGGCTGTCCTAATGAGGCCATCTAACTAGGGGAGACATTCACGGAGTTTATTGGAATGTTCTTGTCATGGAAGTCTCAGAATGCAAGATGACAGCTGAGAATCTAGTTGAGTAGGATTTCCAAGAAAAAGAAAGAAGGTATTTAGTTTTCTCTTTCACTTCTCCTTTGCTGCAGGAGGTTGGGGATAGTTCAGTTAAGGTTGTAGTAAGTGGCTGAATCATGTCTAACATGATGCCATTCTCCCTCCCCGAGCACCTGGAAAGATAGGCGACGGCAGGACAGCTGGTCAGTGGCCCATGGAGATGCTGCCTTTTCCCTAGAGCAGGGATCGGGCTGAGGAGCCTGGGTTGGAGCCCAGTATCCTGAGCATCCTGTGGGAACTTGGGCACAAGGTCTAGTCCTGGCAGACCCCCGAGGGACGTCCTCGAGTACCAGGCCTAGACAACATGGGAAATCCCTCTCCCTCCCCTCCAGAAAGCTCCCTCCACTCTGGCGCCCTGGCCCCTCTGTCCACCATCAGAGCTCTCATCCTGTTCCTTGATTAATATGACCTTTGGCTCTGTCTCTCAGTTTAGCGTCTATTGTACAAAGTTAAGGCATTCTACCACATGCCTCATTTCACCCTTAGGATTAAAGAACATGTCATACTCAGAGGTGGCACACGGGGGAGAAGAAACGAAGGCCCTCAGAGGTCGGAAGTCTGGAGAAGGAAGGAAGAGGGCACACAGTCTCTGAAGGGCATTGAGGGTGTGGGGCACTCAAGGGGCAGTTCAAGGCGGCCAGACCAGATTTAGCTCATCATGCGGTCTAGGAGCCCTCCTTAGGGATGACTGTCTGCACCAGTGAGTGGCACTCGGGCCTCATCTGTGTCCAGGGCAATGAAATCAGCTCTTTCGCTGAGCCTGTTGCCCAGAGGGCCTCCACCCCTCACACCTGGGACAGGCTGCTGCCAAGTGAACCCAGTGTAATGTCTGTCCAGCTCAACTCGGAGCTTAACTCATCCAGGGAGCCTGCTTCCTCCCTCCTTGCATCCATTTCCTCCCACAGGGGAGTGAAATCTAACCTCGACAGACAAACCTAGAGCCAGAAAACTTCCCAGTGTGTCTGGCAGTAGCAGGAGTTCAGGGGCATCCCTGCAGCTTAGGGCGCCCCAGCTGAACACGCAGTGTCCACCCACCCAGCAGTGCCTTCTCTGCAGGACTCCTCAAGGAGACTCCCAGCTTTGGGGAGGGAAAAGGGGCCAATAAAAGAAGCTATGGAAACTTGCTTGTGGGAGTAGGTTTGTCTAGTTTTCTATAGATAAGGAGAGAGTATGTAAATATAGGGTGATGAGTCATTCATTGAATTAAAACAAGTCTCACAGGTCTTATGAGGGAGCCAGCTCTTTCCTCCCCACTCTGAACCAGAGCTCAGGGGGCCCCACCCTGGGCTTTGTTTCCATTCACATTGGCTTCAAACTTATGGCGTGAGGTCCCAAAACCCAGAAGTTGGGCTTTCGCTTTCAACAGGAATAGCTGAGAGCAGAAAGGACACACCATGTGATAAGCCAAACCACTACTGCTTTAAAATAAGACTTAGCTGTGCATTTAACAATAGCTCTCCCTTAACAACCTACAGTTGTTAAATGCATTTAAAGTGCCTTAACTAGTACTTCCACGTCTCCACACATCCTCTCAGAGCCAAAGGCCGCAGCGCCCGCCTCCTCTACCCCCTGGGCAGGGTCACTGCCTGAACACTGCTCTGTTCTCTACTTCTCATCCTTAATCTTGCCTGCTGCTCGGGCTAAGCACTCCCTTCCTTTCTAGCCTACAACACCACAAAAATTTCTTTCACAAATGGAAGGACTGTGCGGTCCTTCTTGACCTCAGTGGTTTTCCCTCTTTTTCTGACGTTGCTTCTGAAATCAGCAATTAGCAAACTTATTTCTTAAACAAGTTGGACCCTTCGTCTCTCCAACAATGCCACACACGTGCACAACATGTACACACACGTAACCTTCAAGTCCTCCTCACACTGCATTAGAAAGGTATGGTTTGTTTTGTTTCATTTTTTAACTTACCTAGAGGTTTCTTTGGAAGCGTAGTCTCGTGGCTTGAGGAGAGGGCTCAGCCTTCTAGGCAGTAGGTAGTTCCTGTAGGATCCAAACGTACTTCTTTCCTACAGTGTCCTGAGCGGCCCAATTCAAAAGGGAGCTTCAAATTAAAAACCTCATAAATCCTCTCCTGACACATTCCAGCTGTGGGCTCCCGCCAGGGCTCAGCGCCTTCCACACCAAGTCACTGCCCAGAGTTCTGACCACACTCCCTGGTCTCCCCCTTCTTTTCGGTCCCATTCTCTCGCTTGTTCATCAGGTTGCTCAGCCTCGACCCTTGGCCCACTTTACTTGTTCACACCTACCTGAGGTCTCAGTGTTGCTAAGCAACATCTTTCATTCATAGGGTTGCCAGATTTGCTTAAAAATAAAAGATGCCCAGTTAGGTTTGTATTTCAGGAAAACAACAAATACTTATTTTAAATACAGATGGTCCCCAACTTAATGTTTGTTTGACTTACGGTGTTTTGACTTTTCCATGGTGCAAAAGTAATACACATAATAAATTACGTGAGTTAGTGAACACTTTATTATAAAATAGGCTTTGGGTTAGGTGATTTTGCCCACCTATAGGGTAATGTAAGAATTCTTAGCACATACAAGGTAGGCAATACTATGATGTTTGGTAGGTTGGATGTATTAAATGCATTTCTGACTAATGATATTTTCTACTTGCAGTAGATTTATCTGGATGTAACCCCATCATAAGTCAAGGAGCATCTGAACAAGCATGTCTCATGCAATATTGGGGACATGTCTATACTAAAAATTATGTGTTGCTTGAAATTCAAATTTGACTAGAGGTCCTGTATTTTTATCTGGTGTCTCTATAATTATTTTTCATTCATTTATCAAGTATTTATGGAGAACTTACCAGGTGTAAGGCATTGTGCTAAGGTGCCAGCCAAGTCCCAGTCTTTATATCTTACAGTAGATATGCTTTATGTACACACAATATATATGTAGAATTATAGGAAACTCTAAGAAGAGTGTTGATTTTGTACTAAACCTAATACATACATGACAATAGTTAGTTTTCTTAATTGCTGCATTTAATGAACTTGCTTTTATAAACATATTAAAGTTGACTTACAAAAAGGCAACCTGTTAATATAATTTTAATGAATAATGCTAATTTTTGTTGAGCATTTCTCATCTACCATGTACAATTTTAAGTGCTCTATATGTACTAATCCTTTTTATCTACATCCCATCTTGATGAAGGAGGACTTTTTATCTCCAATTTACTGATGAAAAGGTAAAGCCATAAATAAATTAAGACATGTACCCAGTTCAAACAGGGAGCAAGCAGATGACCCAGGGTTTGAACCAGGTTATCTGGATCAAGAGACCAGCATGTTAGCCACTACTCTTTACAGACCAACACATATAATTGCTTTATAGTTTATAAAAGATTTTCACAGTTTGTTATATAATCTTCCTATTTTGCCAGCAAGTTAGAGAATGTGAATTGCATTTTATAAATAGAAATGAAGTTATTGCTTTCTCAGGACCTGGACAGGGAGCGGTTCCTCAGGTGAACAGCTTTCCTATCATTTTTTTCCTAGTGTTGATCTTTCTAAATTCTGTCTGTGATCCTATCACCCTCCTGTTCAAAGCTGAAAAGCTCTCCATTGTCTCTATAAGTACTCTTAAAATTTGTTTTTTTTTTAAAAAAAGCAGAATTTTTCAGTGAAATCTTACATGAAATACCAAATATGGCAAAAAATAGAGCAAATCTATACAAGCTAAAGTAGAGGGTGAATAAAGAAGGGAGAGGAGGTGGGAGGGGCCGCACACCCCAGGCACTGCCCTCTCCTGGGCTGGCCTTCCCCTTTGCCCCCCCACCCTCTCCCAAGAAGACCTTTAACTGCCCTCCACAGTCGCAGGCTCATTTTAAAATGCACTGATCGATCGACATGAGCAAACACAAAGGTTTCAGATGAACATTCAAAGATTCCCATAACCTGGCCCCAATGGCCACTTCACGTACTGCCCCTGCACATTCGTGAGGCCCAGCTAACCACGGAGTGCGTGCTTACACCCAACAGCTCTCTCACTGCCCTTCAAACACACCGTAAACTCACCCATAGTCTCTCCTCTGCCCATCCTGCTCTCAGCCCTAGTATCCACATACCCACCTAAACCCTTTCTATCGTTCAAGGGGCCTTCACTCGCCCACTGTTTGCAGCTGTCTGTTCCTGCCCACCTTCCCCACCTGGCCCCCGGAGTCTCTGCTCCTGTCCTAACTCACTGTTTGGAGTTACCTATACACATGTCTCTCTTCCTTGTCTCCATAAGATTGAACTTTCAAAAAGAACCCTGACATTTCCAACTACCCTCGCCTGCCAGCACCAATAGAGTAGGTGCTCCATAAATGTTCACCAGTCTTACCCCTGTCTCTCTTGACCTACGAAGAGCAGGTGACCTGCAAGTAGAGGACACGTGGGCTTTGTCGTTGCAGGCCCGCCATGTGCACGCCCAGCATGTGGGACCTGGAGGAGATCTCCCTGGAGGAGGATGACACAAACAGCCTGGAATTTCAGATCCTGGAGCACTATACCAGGCACCACGTCTTCAAGAACACGCCTGCCGTCCTCTCACCAAAGCTGCTGAGAACGAGAAGTTTGTCCCAGAGAGGCCTGGGGAGTTGGTCAGCAAATGAGTCGTGGACACAGGTGTCGTGGCCTTGCAGAAGTTCCCGATCCAGTGATAAGCCCATAAACCTTGCCAAGAAAAAGTCTTCTTGGAGATCATTCTTTGGAGGAGCAGAGACAAAGGAAGGTTCGCAGAGCTCGCCTGCAGAGACCCGAGCCAAGAGTCAAAGGCGGGCGGAATATCAGGGGGGTCGTCTCACTCAGCAAGGGGCTAGGTCCTCTTCTAAGGTGGAGCTGTGCTTTGAGGTCAAAGGTAGGCTTAGGGGGGATTCTTCCTCCCTGCAATCCAACCTTTCCCTTCTTTTTGTGTCTGGTAGTTCATCTCCTCCCAGCTGGTAGCATGGCCTTAGGCAGGGCAGTCACTGTACCACAGTTTCCCAAGTTATTAATAATCGATAACAATTGCCCCACTTTTCTCAAGACTGAGCAGAATGGAAGAGGATGGCAGCAAAAGGTGATGGGGCTGGTTTTCTGGCTCCACAGTCTATCAATAAGCTCACTGTCCAAGTTCTTAAACCTCTGTGCCAGAGACCAGGACAGAGGCAAGCGCTCTGGACAGGCGCTCAGGCTGCAGCCCTTCCTGAGGTAAGTCGGCTCCCTGCACTGGGCCTCTGTGTTTCTGTCTGAGCAATGGGGTAGCTCCTCCTCCCTACCTCTTAGGAGAGATGAAAAGATCAGGTAGCTCTATACAAAAATACTTTTCAAAGTCTAAACCACTCTAAAAAAAAATTGAGAAGCATTTTGACAAAATCTCCCTCAGTGGAACAAAATACACTGTATTGAATAAGACATTTTCACAAAAGACTTCATCATAGAGAGCTGTCCTTCATCCACAAACCTGGGCATAAGCTTCTCCTTCAACAATGTCTAGTGCCTGATGCCCAGAATTTAAGAAAACTCCCCTCTGGCTGGGCTGCTCGGACTATGTAACTTACCTATAATTAGTCAACAGGTGGCGGTAATGCCTCAATTTTTAAATTTCCTGCTTGGCCTGGCTCACTTGGACAATCAGCTCGCATATGGACAGCCTTGCAGCCACTGTGCTCAAGGAAGCTTCTGTGTCCCACCACACATAAAGTTTGAGAACAGAAGTGAGCATCGGATTCCTGGGGGGTAACTTCCCCACGCACCCGCTGCCCTCTCCCCCGCCCCCCCTGCCCCCCCCCCCCCCCCGCGCCCAGGGGTACAGCAAGGCCCTCCCATGGGGCGTGGCCACCCAGCTCTGGAGCAAACAGCAGTCTGAGGGCATCTAAATAGGCTTTTCTGCTTGGCCTGTTCTTTGGACATTGCCAGGAAACAGAACAAGATTTTACAAACTTTAATCTTCTGGCTTTCTTGAGATAAATGGCATTCTGTATTTCCAAACTACAGGAATGTCATTTGACCTTTTTTTATTTCCTAAAATTTCAAGATCTCTATATACATACATAGATACCTCTTAAAAGTAGACCTTACCTCCTAAGTAACCTTAGCTGTAAACATTTTTATGTAGTTATCCTCTCTTCTCACCTTTTTCTTCCCCCTGGCTTTCTTGTTTAGTTAATTGTGTTGGTAGTTAGCTGGTTTTATGTGGGTGTGACCCAGGACAGCCTTGAATTCCATTTCTATTTTGCCACATATAAATCAGAGCTCAGCAGCTGGCGTCACCTGGGTTCTTTTAACTAAAGGTCACAGTTTAGCCTGGGCTGCCATTTCCAGGACTCAGACACTGGGCTTAATTGAGAACTTGTGAGGTGATGTCCCAAGGCCAAAGTCTAGCACTGAGAGGCTTTATGATTTAGAAAAATGGATGTCCAAACCAATTTTAGAAACTATCAACCCACCTTCTTTTACTCATGAATCTTTTGTTTCTCTACGCTGTGATTCACCACATGCAAAATGTTGTAGTTAAATGAGGCTCAGCAACGTATGTATAGTGTTCTTTTGTTTACAAATTCACTTCTATTTACTTACTTTTCAATAAGTTTAAATCCTTCCTGCTGGAAATGCAGGGGTACAGCGCTACATGGTGTCCGGTGGCCTTGGCAGCAAGGTTGTTTCGGAATGCAGTATGACCACGCCATTGTTTCCATGGGCACAAGTCACCTTTGCTCCAGTTGTTCTGGTTTTGCTCGGTTTGCCACCAGGAGTCACTGCGCTGTTCTTCACTTTGGACACGTAAGCCCATTTTTTGCCCAGATGGAATCCAGTTTCATTTGGAGCACAAACACCTTCCATTTTAAGAAGAGCTCTGTTCTCCCTCTGGTCCTGGAGATCCTGCATACAGCCAGCAAAAATTGGCTTTGGACCACAGCCTTCCAGATGTATTTGTCATGATGGAAGTCCCGTTCCCAGCAGGCCTCCCCAGGCTGCGAGAACCTAGAGGTCATTTTTCTCTCCCACAATAGAAGACCAAAGTACGGCCCCCAGGCCTGATATGGTAGTTCCATACACAGTCGCTAGGGGTTCTTATTCTGCCATCCCTCGGCTAGTGGCTCCCAACCTCAAAGTGACCTTACATTCCAAGGTGGCTGCTGGGACTCCAGCCACCATGCCTGCATTTCCAGCAGGAAGAAAGAGGGAGCAAAGGAAGGACAAAAGGGTGTCTTCTTTCTAAATAATTCAGCTCCCTTTCAGAAAGCTTTCTTGAAACTGCACCCAACTGCTCCTTGCATCTCACTGGCCATTCTTTTTTTTTTTTTTCCAAAGTCAGTTCCCTTTATTAAATGTTGATTTTTCACAGACCAGAAATACAAAATAAAAGTAGGAATATGCCCCAGTTAGGAGCTACAGGCCTGACCTCACATGAGCCCTGCTGCAGCAACTTGAACAGGACGAGAAGCAGCTATGTCCCGAAGGCCGGGAAAGGAGGACGAGGATCTGAATCGCTGCACTGCCCTGCCTCCCAACCCAAACTATATAGAACCATCCCTGTGAAGCAGCAGCCAAGGAAGACGCCTCCCTGCTGTCCCAGTGAAGTGCATACCCCCAGGAGGGCTTGTTCAGATGGCACAAAATCCAAACGCTACTTTTCATATGAGGGCTACTTTTCATATGAGGAAGTGGTACAAAAACATGGAGCAGGGAGGAGACCCGGGGTGTGGCCGGAGAAGCCCAGGACAGAGAATTTTCCTCTGGTCTATTCATCAGATCCTGATGCCGAGTCTTCTGAGCGGGAGGAGTACTGGCCAGTTCCTCTTCTTCAGAGTCCTCGCTCCGCCTTCTCTTCTTTTTGCTCTTGTTCTCTCCAGAAGAGCTCTCATCACTGGACACAAACTCTTTGCTCTTGAAGCTCTCACTGAGCTGCCTTGACGACGACTTTGCATCGAGCCCCGAGAGGGCGTTGACTTCTTTTCCATCTTTACCTTTGCTTTCTTCTTCTTCTTTGACTTGTCCCTCTTGGAAGATTCGCCCCTGCCCCCTTCACATTCCTTCATGGCTTTTTCATATTCCCACCAGGCATCCTCAGCCTTGCGATCCCACTCCTCCTTCTTCTCTTTGGACATTCCCTTCCAGATCTCGCCTGCCTTCTTGGAAAGATCTGTGATACTGATGCTGGGATGGTCTGATTTGCTCTTCTCTCGGCTAGCGTTGAGCTACAGCATGTACGCAGACATGGGTCTCTTTGGGGCATTGGGGTCTTTGCCCTTCTTCACCTCCATAGGCTTCTTGCGGCTCTTGTGCTCCTTGGCCATCTTGGCCTTTTTAAGCTGTTTCCATTTCTTCTCGTCCCAGTCACTGTCACCCTCATTACTGGAGGAGCTGGCAGAGGCATTGCTGTCAAACTCTTCTGCCACATCTTCCTCCTCTTCACCTGGGTTGAATGACTCATCGGTTTCTTCTCCTGAGTCATCGCTGCTGTTGTTGGCATTCTCTTCCCAGATCTTGCCCTCCTCCTTCATGCGCTCCAAGTAGGCATCATGCTGATCTTCATCAGAGTCAGCATAGTCATCATAGCTTGGGTTCATCATGCCCTCTTTCAATCCTCGGTTTTTGATGGTGAGTTTTTTTGCATTGACAAAAATCAAACAGCTTCCCATACTCCTCCCTCTCAATGCTACTGAAGGTATACTGAGTGCCCTGCTTGGTCTCAATTTCAAAGTCAAAGGAACGTGTGGTGGTGGTGCCACGGGCAAAGTTGACGAAGGAGATCTCGTCGAAGCGAATGTGCACGGGTGGCTTGTGGACATAGATGAAGCCCTGCTCCAGTGGTTACAGGAGTCCCAAGCTCGCCTTGTAGGAGCAGGTGATGCACTGGGCCCCGGAGCGCCCTTGGAAGTTGCCCAGGACTGTGATCTTGCGGTTCACCAGCACCTTCATGACCCGGCTAACCATCTCATAGAGAGAGATCCCGACATGTTCTTGGTGAGCCGCCCCTCAAAGTGCTTCTCCACCTCTTCCTCATTCATGTTAAGCGTCAAGGAGATGTCCTCATCCTTTGAGAAGAGGAGAATCAGGAAGTGGTAATGGGTCTGGCCCTGCTTGATGGGGGGATCCAGGCTGATCACAAAGAACATCTGGTGCTGGTCCTTGTGGGGCAGCAGAAAGAGGCGCAGCACCGTGGTGTAGGGGATCTTGTAGTCGAACGTCTTGCCGTGCAGGTGCAGAAAGGTAGGGTAGATGCGAATGTCATACCGACCTCGGGGTGTCAGACACTGCAGCTCCCGGAAGATACAGATGGCGTCTCCAGTGGCCTGGATCACGTCTGCCTTCGACAGCACGTTCTGGGCAAAGGCGTCAACAGGGTCCACGCCATCCTCCTGGGTGGGAGGCACATGGAAGTGTACCTCCATGAGCGAGACCTCTGCATCATCATTCTGGTGGAACTCCAGTGTCACCTCATTCTTGCCTGTGGTGCACTGGGACACATTGCTGAGGGGTATCTCAAAAACCAGCTGGTCACCAATGTCAAAGGAAAGTAGCTGCCCACCAAACTTCACTGTTTCCCAGTTCCAGCCCTTCACACACAGGTCCTTCTCCATTAGATCAAGGTGATAGTGAGTTTTGAAGAAATCAGAGAGTTTCTCAAACTCCAGTTCTCAGAAGCCATCGTACTTGTAGACGTGGCCATTCTTTGTGAGTAGTTTAAGTCCATGGCCCAGAGCCACATGGCGCCAGATGCCTTCCGTCAACTCCCCAGCCTGGGTGTTGTCCGCTTTGCCTGTCTTACTGTTCTTGAAGATGATGCCCTGGCGGCTCAACCTCAGCCGACCATCATTCATGGAGCCTTTCACCTCCTGATAGATGTCGTTGAACTCCAGTGTTTCTGCCATGATGACCTGCCCCTTTTGGCCTCAACTGGGAGCTGGGCCCCAACTCCTAGTTGGGTGTGCAGATAGGTACTCAGCAGGTTGTGAATCTACTTAAGCAGCAGCCTCGCCTCATTGGCCATTCTTAACTGCAAGGGAGGCTGGGAAATGTAGTTTTTTCAGCTGCGTCCATTGCTGCCTCTGCTATGTCAGGAGTCTGTTACAGAAAAAGAAGAAACTGGATACTGAGTGGAAAAGAGCATTCTCAACCACATGGAAATCTCTCCCAAACTTTCTGCCCCTTCTCTTTAAAACAAATGCCTCAGGCCAAAGGCTGAATGGTACCTTTCCAACCCTGCTCTCCTTAGTCCCACAGTGACCCTCAAAAACAGGCTCCAAAGAATGGACAGCCTTTCTATTCTCTCCCCACCCCCATTCAAATTCCCCCTGCCTACAATGTGGAACCTACTCAGACAAGAACGCAATCTTTTCTTTCTCAAGTGTATAAAATTAAGGTATTCAAAATGGGAATCTTAATTAGAGTTAGTTCATCTGGGTCAAAATGTTTTCACTTATGGTTTTTCTCCCACGTATTTCATCTGCATCCCTCACTCCACACCCCCCCAATTCATAGAAATCGATATACTGTACATGGGTACTTCTGTGCCTGCCAGGGGTCTTATGTTTGCCCTACTACATGGAGAAGGGACTAGGGAGTAAGGATGGACTGCCTTTGGGATTGTTATCTGATTTCTCAGGGTGCCAGATGGGAACAATGTGACCTCTGGTGGAAGGACCATGCACTGATCATCTTAGACAAGCTACCCAAGTCTACAGAGATAGAAGATGTAAGCTTCTCTTTCCCGTGTCCTGTGGACACTGCAGAGGAAGGATCCCATTGGCTTTGGGATCTAGCCTTTTCCCATCTCCTTGCCCATGGCCGTGGGTGACCTGAGCTCTAGAGGAGGCTGGCTGGTCTGTGATAAGGTGATTGAAAAGTAGGAAGTATATTTGGTTTGGTTGTTAACACAGAGAGGAAAGCATTGATCCTCCTGCCCTTGACCTCTCTATTCTTCTCTAATTCACTCATCTGTTTTGGAACCCTATGGGTGGAGTATGAAAAATGACTTTTTAAAGAAGGCATTACAGATGGAGCATTAGTCTTTGTGGCCTTTCAGTGTATGCCCAGGCAGTGAAGGGAGAGCCCCAACGCGTTCATGCGGTGGAGGAATCCAGGGAGAGAGGATCGGACATCACCTGGGCAGCTCCTTGGGATGCCTATGCCTGCTTTCGATGTGACACAATTCCTCCGGACACCCAGGCGTTCCTTGTCCCAATCCTGATTTATAAAGCCCAGGGATTTCCCAGTCGCCCCAGCCTTCCAGCCAAAGCCCAGCTCTGTTACTCCGAGTCCGTGAATTAAACAGCATTGTTTCTCAAACATCACATGATAAGATTGCTTCATATGGCATCAAAGACAAAGTTTGTACAAGCTTCTAAAAGTTATGAGTTTAGTAATGAATCAACAATGAATATTTTACTCCCAAACAACTCAGCGATACCAGCTGCCCACCCCACCAACTCCCCCCTTCCCCACCAGGAGCAAAGCTGACTTGTCTTTTTGTCTTTCATGGGCTGTGATGTTCAGGGGGCCGATGTCATTGAAACATTCCGGTACCAAAATGCTTTATTCTCTAGTTCCATGTGCAAATACATGGCATGCTCTTTTCCTGGATTATAAATTCTTGAGGGTCATGGACTGCACTGTATGTGTCCTTGCTTCCTATCAGCATGAATTAGCTGTTTCCCGGTAGACCTAGAAGAGAGAGGAGGGGAGAGGAGGGTTCGGTGTTTATCTGCTAATGGACCTGAGCAATGAATATGGCCGGAGAGCAGGCGTGGTTATCTTCCCTCAGTGACCCCCCACCCCCATAGGCTTGTCAAACTTTTGAATGCCCCTCTATGTGCATAAGGGCAAGCTCTCCAAAATATGAAGGATGCCCCCCGCCAAAAGAAAAGAATAAAAATAAAAGCATAATGAGCATTTCCTCAAGCAAAGAACTAGGCACTCCTTTTGGTGTTTCGTCACTCGCAAAAAGGAAAGGAGACCCTCATTTTGCAAAGACTTCGAAATGAGGGCGCAGGACAATTGTTTCAAGGTGGCAGCCGTTCCCCCGTGGACTCCTCCCCCGCCCCAGCCTCTGCCAGGCAACTGCCAGTGCTTCCTCAGGAACGGCCTGCCCTGCACACACACTCCCGGGCCATTTCCCCTCACTCTAGGCGGGTCTCTCATTTCAGGCAACTGTGCACACCGATGAGCTTGGCCAACTTCTTCTGGGAAGGGCCTCTCAGCACCGTTTTGTCTTATTTCAGCTGTGGACCCCAAAGTCGCATCCGTTGCCAACCGAGTTGCTGAAATTGTTTATTCCTGGCCACCTCCAGAAGAGCACACCCAGGGAGGAAGCTTCAAGTCCAAGAGGAGCTTCGTGCCACAGTCCCTCCCCCACCAGCAGGGTCAGAGCTGCCAGCTTAGAGCCGCAAGTTCTAAGAAAGGTAAACTTCCCTTGGAGTGTTTGTGTTGGGCTGCGTGTTTTCCCGGCAGAGAGTGGTACACAAGCACTTCTGCACTGATGCAGCTCAGCGCTCCACAACTGGACCAAGGGCACGGCCGCAGAGGCTGGAGGCACTGACCTTCAGCTTGGGAGGCCAGCCCAAGCCAAGGGGAGGGAGCCAGCAGATGGAAGCAACATGCCAAGTTCACTGCTAAGTCCAAAGAAAAGTCTAGTGAGGGAGAGGAGGAAGTACAGAGCGTGCAATCAACTTTGTCCACAGGGGGAAATGCAATATTAGATTTAATCGTGTTAGCAATGGCCAGGGACCAGTTGGCTCATGGGAGCACAGAGGGTACAGATGGAGCAGCAGCCCAGGGATTTATAACATTGCTTTGGACTCCTGTGAAAACATAAGGGGGTGTCAGACACTATGTCTGGCGCAGAGCATGAAGCGGAACTGAGAAGCAGTGACTAGACTGGGTCAGCTGTCACCAAGCTGCAGCACTAGCTGGGGCTGTAGATTCCATCAGACTTGCAGAAATCTCAGAGTTGAGGGGAGCAGGACCAAGTGGGAAATTCAGTCCTACACCCCCTCATTGATGACAGTCCTCTCTCCTGGCTGTCGGTCCCCACTCTCCAGGGGAGGATGAAGGGAGGACCTGGGTCCGGTGTCTGCAGCACAGCGAAGAGCAAGGCAAAGGTGTCTTTGGGCCACAGAAGCAGAGTGGTGAGTTTACCCACCCTGCGCTGTACCATTGGGACCACCATCTATCAGCGGGGCTTAGCGTGGGGCGCTGGAGGAGAAGACACCTCTTGGCTTGCTGAAAACAAAGTGTCTCCACTTTATTGCTATCTTGTGTGTGTCTGGGCACTGGAAAGCAACACCCTAAACCAAGCTCGAGTTAAGGCGTGTATCCTCTGTGCACATGGGAAATTTTGGCCACAGTTACAACTTTCCCTGAGAGAAGCAGCAGCATGAGATAAAAAGCACACACGGTTGACGGAGACGCATTCTTTCTTCTCCCAGATGACTTGAATCTCAGACTTCCACTTACCTTGCCCTTCACTTGACCTCCTTGGGACGTGACGAACTGGATTAATTTCTTGGCCTCTCTTTCCCTTTTATCTGGAACAAACATGAGGACTCGATGACTTCACAGATTGTGCCATAAGTAAAAAACGCCGTTCTCTCAGTAGTGGGCTTTTCTCTGTGATTCTGTGCTACAGCAATGGCCGTTTTCCTCACGTATCGTTGTTAGCATGTTTGAGACAAGAAAACCCCTGTTAGTCCATCTCCTCCATTCTGACATACACACCGGACACCAACCGTAACCGCCTCTCTGTCCATCTGCCGTTTTAGCCTTTGGAGTGGGAGAACTTATTAATCGTATTTATTTATTTTTACTCTGCCTTATTGTAAAGGCAAGGCATACAAAGTATACATTTTGGTATGCTAAAATAAATCAAATTTGAAAAGCAGTGTGAAAAGAAAACAACAGCAGGAAAATAAGGTGAGGCTAGAAATGAGTTTAATTCTCAAAATGCAGGGCAGAAAGACTACAACCCCCTCAGATGGTGCCACGAATTTGTCTCTGCCCCACCTAGGAGCTAACACGAAGGGCAGATGTGATTGGGTAGGGGATGTGTGGTATTCATCTGCTCAGCATAAGCCCAAAGACTGGAGAGAAACTTCTCCTCAATATCTTTAGAGGTAGGATCATGTGTGGTAGAACCAATGTCTCCAACAACATTGTGACAGTAAACAGTGAAGAATTTCACATGAGAATTGGGGGCAAGGGGAGAAAGAGGAAGAAAGGAAAGGAGAGGAGAGAGAGTCTGGGGTGGTTTATGCCTAAAATCAACAAAGGGGAAGTGAGATTTAATTTGCTAAAAATTATCAAGCACTTGCCTTCCTCAATCCCTAACCAAGCTAGGCATTGTCACTGGGAAAATGTATTATTGTTTTTTTTCTTGAAAGAAATAACTGGGATTTTCCCAACAGATGGAGAAGACCAAATAATAGCCAAAATCATTGAGCTGCTGAAGTACTCAGGGGATCAGATGGAAACAGAGGTATGGCCCTTCTAGAGCTAACACAGTTTCCTTCTGTGCCCGTGCACTGGTGCATGAGAGCAGAATTATACTCCAGGATGTATTCCTTTTCGAAGTTCTGATTTCCACTTAGTCCTAAATTTTATTTCACTTGGAGTCAAAATTCTTCATGCTGGCAGCATCTCAAAAATGAATCACTTTGGAAAACATAAGTAAACCTTCTGGAGCCTCCTTGGAATTTTTGGAAACGAAAAAAGTAACTTTGTTATTGTAAGAAAAGACACCAATAAATTACAATTTGCTGAATAGAATTCTAAGTCTAGTTCCCCATGTAACCGATCCTCAGGGAAGTTTAGACTCTTGTGTTGGCCCCGCGGCCCGGATAGCTGCGCCCACAGCTGCTCCAAGGCCGCGGCCCTGTCTGAAGTCTCCCCCTATGGCTGGACTGGTCTCTGCTCAAGTCTCTCTCAGCAATCCAGCTGGGGAGGCCAGTTAGTGTTCCTTGGAACATTGGATTTCCTGCCATTTAGAAGTTGAGACCCATCATTCCAATTAGAAACATATGAGAGGCACCTTCAGATAAAGAGCTGGTGAGCAGGCTCCCCACTCTGCTCAGAAGGGCTTCTGAACGAACATCACCTCCTCCGTGTCTGTCATCCACAGACTGCCCAGCAGTCTCTAGGGCCTGTCAGTCAGGGGCTGGGCTGCGGGCCCATTCCCTTGTTTGGCCAGCATCCGTGCGGAAGGAGTCAGGCCCAGGGGGCTGCCGGAGGGGGAACAGCACTGACTCCCTAGGTGGCTGTTCTCTCAAGACCTTTGTCACAGGCTGGTGACCAGAATGCTGAAGGGCATGCGACATGGTGCAGAATGAGAAACAGTGAGAAAACCAGGGATTCGAGACTAAAGAGAAGGGGCGGGGTATGAACTTCGGAGCCACAAGTTAAGGTGGACAGGGGTCCGTAGGAAGCAGAAATGAGAACATGGCCCATGATCCGAGGACACCCCTGTGTTTCTCCAGAGCTAACATCAACAAATAGAAGTTGCAGGGCAACTGATTTCTCCCCATTTTGAGAATGACCTTTCCAGCCATGTGGCTGCCCTTTAGAGCCAAGGGTTCACCTTCCTGTCACTAGAAGTTCAAGTAGATGCCAAAACTCAGGCAATAGTTCAGGACCCGAACTGGGACAGATCCAGTAGATGTCCTCCAGGGTTCTTTAAGGCTCGAAGCTTCCGGAGCTCTCCCAGCAGCCTCCTTCCCACCCACCCTCCCCCGCTTCGCAGTGACTTGCAGTAGGTTAGGGAGGCCCGGGATGGGGTCGGGAGGAAGGCCGCACCTCTGGTTATGAAGAGAGACGCTTTCTTTCTCACCCCACAAATGACTACTTGAAAAAACCTCACTTTGTCTGATACACCTGCTTGATGATTTGGGTGATACTTTGCAGTATTTATGTACAGCACATGGTGGTTCTTCCTTTTATACGGTCTCCCAGTAGAGAACTCAGGCAGGAACTCCTAAAAGGTCTGGCTTGTGCTGTGTGGGTGTGAGCTGCCGGCAGAGTGGGACAGTGACGGAGGACCCCCACCCTGGCTGCAGTGCCTGCAAAGCCGCTCACCCCCAGAGCACAGGCAGCCTCACCCCTCACCTGTACCTCCTCTGGGTGATGCTACGGAGCCAGCCGCGCTGGAAAGGGGCAGGGGGCGGGGGCGGGGTGCTCTGTGGGAGGCGCTCCTTTCTGGTGTGGCTTCCTTTACTGTCTGGCTGAGTCCAGGCTTCCAGGTGTCCCCTGAGGTTTTGAGTTTGCTTCTTCAGCTGGGTCACTGATTAGGAAGAGTCCACTCTTGGTGGGGAAGATGCTGGTCATTCCTGCTTCGGATTTATAATTCGGATAGGCCCCAGTGTCTCCTGGAAGCTGGGGGCGGGCTGGGCTCAGATAAAGTACACTATCCCACCAAAATCGTTCCATAGCCTCTGACTCATCCCCAGGATATCCCTGTTATAAACAATATTTGTTGAAAACCTGCTCATCTTACCACTCCTCAAGCACAGAGCTAGAGGATGTTCAAATAAACATTTAGTCCCTGCTAAGACATTTCTGTTTTCACATGACAGCCATCATATTAATAGACATTGCAAGGACGGCTGTAAGTGAAGATGATGTCTGCCTTGTGACTCAAGCCCTGAGTTTTTCAAAAGAAACAGAAACGATACTTAATTTTGAGTTAAAGGCATGGAAGTCCAAAGAAGGGAGAGCAGAGATACTGAGGGAGGTAAAACAGAATGAGTAGAGCCATGGGAAGGAATCGGTGGATTAGGGTCTTTTTTTCTTTTTCAGTGAACACACGCCCCCGGGTAGTCCTCCCAGACGCCCTGCGCTCTCACAGCGTCCTGAAAAATTACTAAGATTTCACAAGCACGTCTCTAGGTGGGGCACTGTGCCTAGTGCTTTACTTGACTACCCTATAGCATAGGCACTGTCGTCATCCCAGTTTAGAGAGGACAAAACTGAAGGCGAGAGCTTAGGTAATCTCTCCAAGACTGCACAGCTAGGAGGAGCTGGAGCAGGGGTTTGAGCCACGACACTGATTTCCAGGCTCTGGAGTCAGCCCCTGACATGACCTGTAGCAAAGCACTTGGCACCGCGCTGTTATTACCACTAGATTGTGAGCCCCTTGAGTGAGGGGCTGGGTCTTAACCGTGCACAGTACCTGCCATTGCAAGCGCTCAGGAAACATTCCTTGAATGTGGAGTGAGTGGGCTATTCAGGTTGATCATTGATTTGTCCCGATGAAATGAAGTCACAGAGCAGGCACGAGCCCGGTCCGTTTCTGCAGCACATTGCGCTGTGGCTGAGGCCAGAACGCAGCATTCCCCACTGGGTGTTTAGTGGCCCACTGTGGAGCCAGGGAGTCTGCCCCGCTGCGCCAAGCTGCTCTACTGAATGCTTATCCTCTTGTACGCAGTTGAAGAAGGACAAGGCTTTGATGAACGTCTTCCGGGGCGGCCTGTCCTACTCCCTTTTCAAGACCATCACAGACCAGTTCCTCAGGGGTATAGATACCAGAGGAGAATCAGAGATCCGAGCTCAGGGCTTTAAGGCTGCTCTTGCAATAGACGTCACGGCCAAGCTCACCGCCATTGACAACCATCCCATGAACAAGGTGCTGGGTTTTGGAACCAAGTACCTGAAAGAGCACTTTTCACCTTGGATCCAGCAACATGGTGGATGGGTAAGTGCATCCTACTTAAAAATGAATCTTCCCAGATTGCAAAATAGATGGGATGGAACATTTGAGGGTTTTGTTTTGTTTTGTTTTGTTTGTTTTTTTTTAAGTGAAGGGAACACACCCATGGAGCAGTTCTCATGGTTTTTGGATGCTTGAGTGGCAAGAGATATATCCCATTGGTAGGAACATATTTTTAGTGATTATCTTCATCATCAATAAATATTTACTGAGCTCCCAAAGGGTACATGGGGTATGTGTGTCAGGGGACAGGGACTGGTCAGATAGAACAGGAAATGAGGAGATGTTGAGAGATGAGATGTTTGGAGAGACATAATCTCTGTGTTCACAGATTCTGCAGGCAGCGGACAACGGGCAGTGAGTCATGGGAGGCAGACCCACCTCATACTCTCAGATGCCAAAAGGGGGTGGGGCAATCCTCATGCAGAGATTCAGGGTGACAATGACATTTTTGTCATTGGGGCTTAGACCCAGAATTTTGGCAGGGACACTTAGATACAAACTAAAAAGCAAACAGTTAAATTTTCATTTGTTTTAAATTACCTGATATCAAACAAAAGAGATATCTCCGCCCCCATGCCTCAGCCTGAGCCCCTCCCTCATCCTTAACGGCCATTCCTTGAGATTTCCTTCAAACCGTCATGTACGAACAGCCTCCTTGGCTCAACTTTGTCAAAATGCTTTACCCCAGAGCTTTCAATCTCAGAGGGAAAGGCCTTTGCCCCACATTATCGCTTGTCCTCTTTCTACTGGAATGTTCCAGGGCCAGCAGCAGGGTTAGGTCTCTTTGAGGCATGGCCAGCGTGACCCTGGGGCCTCCAAACAGGCTTAGTCTCTTAGCAACCACAGAGAAAGTACAGCCGATCTTGCCTAAGGGACGGAAGTGCCCACCATGGTTTTCCGTGGATGCCCATTGAGCTACCCCGTCTTCTGTTCTTTCCTATTTCCCACTTTTGCCCCAGACGTGATAGCCCTTAAGTGGCTGACCTGAACAACTAATGCTCTTAAGTATTCTAAAGTTAAGCCGCCTTCACTCATGCTAAGAGGATAAATTCCTGGACCTGATTGCAGCGTTAGCTGTTCTTCCTTCCAGGACTCCCTCAAGTGCCTCTGCTTGCCCCAGAGCCTTTCCCAGCTGCTCCAGCTCAAGACCCTCACCAGTCTCTGCACCTCTTACAACACTTCATGTTTGCACTATAATTACTACAGGAAGTCACCATCACTGTTGGTCCTGTTAATATATTTTTCCATAGAGATTATAAGTATCAATTGGGTTCACAGGCCTGTTCTCAAAAGTCTGTTTAGTTAATTAATGCAGCTGAAATGCCAAAAGTGTCCTATGAACAATGGTTGTTCTACACCAAAAGCACAAGCAAGAAAAGAACAAATAAACTGGGTTACGTGAAAATTTAAAACTTTTCTATTTTAGGGACATCGCAGGAAAAGTAAAAAGACAACCTGTACAATGGGGAGAAATATTGGAAAGTCATATACTTGTATTTAGAATATGTAATGAACTCTTGAAACTCAAAAATAAAGAGACAACCTAACTTGTTATATGGGCACTGGATTTGAATAGACATTGCTCCAGAGAAGACGTACAAATGGCCAATGAGCATATGAAAAGATGCTTGCTTGGCGTCTTCATTTTAACATTAGGGAAATGCAAATCAAAACCACAGAGAGACTCCATTTCACACCCACTAGCACGGCTAAAACAAAAAAGACAAGTGTTGATGAGGACAAGAGAAATTTGAACTCTCAGACATTGCTGGTTGGATGCTAAAATGGTCCAGCCCCTTTGGAAAACAATCTGGCAGTTCCCCAAAATGTGCAACATAGAATTACCAACTCCAATCTTTGGTATATAACCAAGAAAATTGGAAACAAATGTTCACATAAAAACTTGTACATGAATGTTCATAGCAGCATTCATAATTCATAAGCCCCAAAGTGGAAAGAACACAAATGTTCATCAATAATGAATAACGAATAGAAAAACCAAATGTGGCATTCATACAATGGAATATTATTCAGCCACAAAAAGGAATGAAGTACTGACAGATGGATGAATCTTGGAAACATTATCCTAAAGTGAAAACAGTCAGACAAAAGGGCCATCTATTGTATGATTCCATTTATATGAAATGTGCAGAATAGGCAAATTCAGAGACAGATTAGTGGCTTCCTGGGGCTTGGGGAAGGGGGAATGGGGAGTGACTGCTAATGAGCTGGAGTTTCTTTTTGTGATGAGAATGTTCTCAAACCAGACAGAGACACAACTCTGTGAACATACTAAAAGCCAAAGAATTATATACTTTTAAAGAATGAATTTTATGGCATATTTCAATGAATCTGTTATGAAAATAGTAGTTCTAATTCTAGTAAGCAAACAAAAAGAGGGGAAAAATACAAACATTTTTATTTACTTATTTTTGAAAATGTGTATGCTGTTTTCTAATTAGAGAAATAGGTGGCTTTTTCAGTAGAAATAATACAGGAAACTTTCAAAGGCTTTAGAATTTAATGGCACTAGTTCTTTATCACTTGTAGTTTCCATTCAGAAGGTATTAGTTTACTTTCCAAGCCATCAGAAATCCTAATTTCAAGGCTTGGCCATAATTAAGTTTAATTTGGAACATGAAGCTGGAAATTAGGAAAGGGAGAGGAAAAAAGAGTAAGAGAAAAGGACTAATTTTTTCCAAAGTGATAGAAAAAGAGTTGTAAAAAAATAAGAATGTTGATTTAAAAATGTATCTGTGAGTTGACATGAGCTACAAAAGGATGAAGGAAATGTGGACTAAGACCTGTGCTCAGTTTCCCCTATCAGGGGAAAAACAAAAGATGACACTGGGTGGCCAGCCTCCAGGCGCTTCCGCTGGCCCCAGGTGTCCCTGTGGCTCTCTGGGATGCCCTTGTCACGGCGTGGAAGGAAGAAAACGGTTCCTAAGTTTCTCAGGATTCCATGTTTCATACAGGCACATCTAATCTTCCCAACCAAGCTACAAACCTGTAAGGGCAGAAGTGTTCGCTTTATGCCTCCTTTTGCCTCTAAGAGCTCCCATTCCTTCTCTATATATCGTAGATATTCAGCCAATATTTGTAGGATAATGAATTAACCAATCAAATGAGTGAACAGCGACAACTGTTTACAAGACGTGCTAAACATGCTCCCTCGGGATTTTAATGGACTCCTTGGCCCTTTTTCCTCCCTGTTCACACTGTCATCCCGAAGTCCTGTGCTCTCTCCCATTCTACAGCACCCTGAACGGAGAGCCTTATAGAAGAGGAAAATCATCAACCTTTCCATACCCACTCGTTTGAATTTTAAAATACAGCATCAAAGCCTTTTCCCATCTAGCCTGTTAGCCCTGGATGTGTAACCTAAGTTCTTAGTCGGTGTTTTCCTTGTAGGAACACAGAGGATGCCGGCCACCTTTCCAAACCCTCCCCTAGCCTTAATAATCTGAGCCCCGGGTTGTGCCTGGGATAAGAGAGCAGAGTTAACAGGCATATGTTTTCACTTCAGCAGTGATTCAAACTTGGAATTTTAAGAATCTATTTCTCTTTTTCCCCTCTAGGAAAAAGTACTTGGGGTATCACATGAAGAAGTAGACTGAAACATCAGAAGATGTGTAATCTGGAATACTCATCAGCCAACTGTGGTCCTGGGTCCATTGCCCTCAGCATAGACTCCAGGAGAAAATAAACACGTGCAAGGCAGACAGAGCACTGAAGTTTTCAAAACCATTTCTCCCGTGAATCAAGAGGCATCAGGAGAGGCCTTGCTCATGTGCAGCTCTTAGAGTGCAGTGGCCTGGCCTCGCTGGTCCAGTGGAGGCAGGTCCTCCACTGAACGGGTGAGATCTGGGAAAACAATATTCCTCTCAAATATTCAGAGCAGAAACCATCATCCTGTCTCTGCCAGCCACCTTAGGAAAAGTGGTGCACATCCTCGCTGACCTCACAAGGGCGAAATGATAAATCACACATGTGCCTACTCTTTGGTTTCTGGTACTATTTTGTTATTTTTAAAAGATTTTATGTATTTATTTTTACAGAGGGGAAGGGAGAGAGAAAGAGGGGGAGAGAAACATCAATGTGCGGTTGCCTCTCGCACATCCCCTGTGGGGGACAGGGCCTGCAACCCAGGCATGTGCCCTGACTGGGAATTGAACCCATGACCCTTTGGTTCGCAGGCTGGCACTCAGTACACTGAGCCACACCAGCTGGGGCTATTTTTTTTTTTTTAAACTACACTTGGGATGGCCTAATGACATTATTTCAAAGCTACCTTTAGGAAGATGCTACTGTTCGTGTTAGTAGACATAGCTGAGAGACTCGAGATTACTGCTACATCTGCTGTTTTGGGGAAAAACTGCCACATCTGCCTTTTTGACTCACTTCTTTGGGAGGATTCTTTGGCAGTCTGAAAAACTTCCATTTGGCAGAAAACGATGACTCCTACTGCCCTCAACTTTCAGTGACCTTGTCTCTGCCTCTCAAGGTCTTTGGGACTTTGTTATTTTTTTGTGGGAGGGTAATGATTGGTAGCTGGTAAAACAAATAGGTGTCAAGAGAGTATCTTGTGGTTAAAATAAGCAAAAAGTAATAGTACAAAAATTTCTGTCAGGATCCAAAGAGTTAATTTGTAGAAAGGGCTTAGAGCAGTGCTTGGTCTCCCTGCCAAGCACTCACTTATGTGTGTGCTGTCTTGCACTAAGCTGAAGATTCGCTCTCCTCTCAAAGCAGTCGCCGATTGTTTTTTGAAATTGATACTGTTCAGAATGAGGTATTTTAGTAAGTAAAATACGTTCCACAGTAAGTATTTAAAACACACAAACAACGATGTTTAAAAACACTTTCCTATTATAGGGTCTTACAAATTTATGAATCTGTAGCGCTCAACATGTACTCTAACAGAAAATAGGTGTTTAACAAAACCTTTGGTGGTTACATAAATAAATGCATAAAAAAAATCTTTCAACTTCAAGAGAAAAGTAGGCCTCTTATCACGCTTCACTACTCAGCCCATCTCAATGGAACCAAGTTATTCTCCTACTTCCCTCCCCAAACTGAGAGTTATAGATGTCAGGGCTAAAGGCATCTCCTTTTACAGATGGAGACACTGGAGACCATCTCTTCTCTCACTGTGATCCACCATGTCAAACTATTTGAAGGTCCCCAAGTGTATTATGATGCAACCTTGTTGTCCAGCGGCTTCGTAACATTCTCTCCATTTAAAGTGTTCTTGCCAGCTGGTCCTCTTTCCCCTATTTCCTCTAATTCAACTCACCCTAGCCCATCTTTCAAAATTCACTCCTTCGTTTCCTCCAGGAACCATTCGCAACCCTCTCTCAGCCATCTCGGGGCTGCATTTGGATGCCTTGACTCATAAGGATGCTCCCTAACACCCTGTATGTGAACATTATACTTAATATACTGGTACCATAAAAACCAGTCTTTCACACTGGATTGCAAACTCTTTCATAAACAAGTATGATGTCTAATTTAACTTTGTACACCTAATGCCTGGCATATTTTCAGGGCACAATTGCAGAATCATACCTTAGCCTTACAGCTGTAACCTATAAATCAGTAAGACTGGAGTATGGCCCAAGGTACATGTAGTTTTAACAAGCTCTTTAAGCGTTCCAACATTGTCTGCACCTTCCATCTATGATGAAGTAACAGTAACTGAATTTAACCTCCTGCTTAAAACAACTGAAAAAAATAGACAAAATATGAAGGAACAGTTTTTAAGACCTTGTGCATCAGGTAATGAAGGACTGGTCCTGAGAGATGAGAGACAAAGCCAGCCCTCTGCCTGCCCTAGAGCACTGCAGGGAAAGCCTGCTCAGGCTGTGTCGGAAGGTGGGGGAACCACACAGGGCTCAGCTGTCTCCCTGAAGAGCAGAGAGAGCTGGGGAGTCCAGGAAGGCCAAGGCAGCTGGAGTTTGCAGGGGAAATGATGGAGAGAAGAGAATGGCACAAAAAACTTCAGAGATCTGCAGAGAGGTCCCCTCAAGTTTTCAAATGAACCCTGAACACCACATATACGTGAAGATGTTACCTAAGCCTTCAAAAAAGAACACCTGAAGATATTAAGGGAACACATTCCGAAGCTCACACAGGGTTGGGAGTTGTGCTTATTTCCACTAACCAGAATAGAAAACCCTCAAATTTGCACAGCAATAGGTAAAATACTCAGAAGCATTTTGCCTCTGTAATGGGAAAAAATTAGCCCTAAACATACTTCTGGTTCTGCCCACTAAAGATGAAGAGCAAGAACCAAAAGGATTAAACTGTTATCAAGTAACTTAATTGTGTTCCAGAATAAAGCTCAAGAATCTTCCTAGGATCACTAAAAGATCCAGTACTCAACAGGGTAGCACTAACAATGTCTGGCATACAGTTGAAAAATTACAAGGCATAAAAAGAAGCAGGAAAATGAAACCAATAATGAGAAAAATCAAGAAAAGCCACCCTGGAAATGATACAGCTGATAGAATTACTAGACAAGGACATTAAAACTATTATAATTGTATTCCATATGCTCGATAAGGCAAAGGAAAGACCGAACCTTGAAGTCCACATAGAAATTATAAATACGATTTAAAACCTCTAAAGAAATCTATAACTCTGAGATGAAAAACAGACTGGACTGGATTAAGAGCAGACTACGGTATGTAGGAGAACAGATAAGTACATACGAAGACATAGCAATAAATTCAAAATAAAACACAGAGAAATAAGACCAGGAAAAAAACAACAAAACAATAGTGAACTATGGGATGGCTTCTACTGGCCAATCTAGGTGTAACTGCAGTGGAGTATTTCCAAATCTGATGAAAACCACAAGCTCACAGAACCAAGAAACTCAGTGAATGTCAACCACAAAAAAACATGTAGAAAACTACACTCAGGCATGTCATGAATTGCTCAAAACCAGTGATTTAAAAAAATCTGAAGAGTAGCCAGAGGAAAAGGTACATGACATACTCAGAAACAAAAAAATTGGTAGCAAACTTTTATTGTGAAACAATATAAGACATAATAAAATGGAGTGTCATCTTTAAAGTACCAAGAGAAAAAAATTGTCAACACAGAATTCTATACCCCAAAAAGAGATGTTTTTTTAAAAAAAGGTGAAATACTTTTTGAAATATGTGAAAGCTAAAGAATTCCTCACTAGCAGAAGTGAACTACAAAAAACATTACAAGAAGTCCTTCAGGCAGAAGAAACACAAACCAGCATCTCCTGAAAAGAGCACTGGGAATAACAAATAATATGTGATTAAATTTTTTTAAAAACCTTTTTTCTTATCTAAATCTCTTTAAAAGATTACAGACCATTTAAAAGAAAATACTACTACTGTGGGGTTTTATAAGACAGGTAGAATAAAATATTTGACAATAATGGTACTGCAGCTGAAAAGAGGTAGTACAATTCTAAGGTTCCATACTATACATGAAGTGCATAATTTCACTTGAAGGTAGACTGTGGTAAGTTAAAGATGTACAGAATAAACCTAAAAACCACTAAAACATATACACACATACACACACAAGATATATAGCTAGTAAACCAACAAAGGTGATAAGATGGAGTCATAAAAAATACTCAATCCAAAAATAAAGCAGAAAAAGGACAACAAAGGACAGGTGAGAGAAAAAGGAAACAAATAGCAAGTTGGTAGATTGAATCAAGCCATATCAATAGTCAAAATAAATGAAAATAGTCTAACCATCCCAATTAAAAGGCAGTTAAAAAAAAAGCCAGACCTAGATATATGCAGCCTCTAAACAAAAAATGCTTTATATATAAAGACATTATGTTAAAAAATAAAGGATGGAAAAATACAGTAACACTTATCAAATGAAAAATGGAGTGGCTACATAAATGTCAAAATAGATTTTAGAGCAAAGACTATTTTTAGTATAAATCAGTATCATTTAATAATAGAGGAGTCGATTCATCAAGAGAACATAACTCTAATGTTTATACATCCTGTTGTGTTTGTGAGTTTTCCACACCATCAAGAATTCTCTGACACCAGCGGGTTATCCTACAATTCCACTCCCTTCTGACACTGTCACCCTGGGGACGGGTTAGAGCTCTGTCCTGTGCGGCTGGCCTGTGCACGCACGCGTCTAGGCTGTCACCAGGGCTTCGGACTGGCGGACTGTAAATCAGAAGATCCCATCACCCCTCCCTGGGTTCTGTTAATGTGCTAGGACAGCTCACAGAACTCAGAGAGAGATTTTACTTACTTGATTACCTGGTTTTTATAAAAGGATGTACGATTCTGGAACAGATGTGTAGGCCAAGATATGGGGAAAGGGGCATGGAGCTCCCACACCTTCTCCAAGCTCACCACGTTCCCAGCATCTCCAAGTGTTCACCAATCAGAAGCTCTCCAAATCTCATCCTCTTGGGTTTTAAGGAGGCTTCATTACATAGACATGACTGATTAAATCACTGGCAATTGATTTTGGAGCTCTATACCAGGAACAGGGACAAAGGTCAAATACGTATTTCTTACTACGAACCACAATTCACAATCTAATAACGGCTTCAAAATACACAAAGCAAAACGGATAGAATTGCAAGGAGCAACAGACATTCAGGATCACAGTTGGAATTTCAATACCTCTCTCTCAATAACTGATAGAACGACCAGAAAATCAGCAAGGATGCTGTAAACCAACAGCACCAATCCTCTTGACCTAATTGACATCATAAAGCATTATACTTAACAACAGTGGAAAACACACTCTTTTTGTGTGCACATGGAAGATTTACAAAGATGAACTATATTCTGGATCATAAAACAAATCCATAAATTCAAAAGGATTCAAATCATACAAAGTATGTTTACTGATCACAGTGGAATTAAATTATAAATCAGTAACAGAAAGAGAGCTAGGATATTCCTCAAATGTTTGGCAATGAAATAACCCATGTCTAAATCACCCATGGCT